TCTAACAGCAGTACTAAGAGTCTAACAGCAGTACTAAGAGTCTAACAGCAGTACTAAGAGTCTGACTGCAGTACTAAGAGTCTGACAGCAGTACTAAGAGTATAACTACAAGAGTATAACTACAGTACTAAGAGTATAACTGCAGTACTAAGAGTATAACTGCAGTACTAAGAGTATAACTGCAGTACTAAGAGTATAACTGCAGTACTAAGAGTCTGACTGCAGTACTAAGAGTCTGACTCTTAGTACTGCAGTCAGACACTTAGTACTGCTGTCAGACTTATACTCTTAGTACTGCAGTCAGACTCTTAGTACTGCAGTCAGTATACTCTTAGCACTGTAGTTATACTCTTAGTACTGCAGTTACACTCTTAGTACTGCAGTCAGACTCTTAGTACTGCAGTCAGACTCTTAGTACTGCAGTCAGACTCTTAGTACTGCTGTTAGACTCTTAGTACTGCTGTTAGACTCTTAGTACTGCTGTTAGACTCTTAATACTGCAGTCAGACTCTTAGTACTGCAGTTATACTCTTAGTACTGCAGTTATACTCTTAGTACTGCAGTTATACTCTTAGTACTGCAGTTATACTCTTAGTACTGCAGTTAGACTCTCAGTACTGCAGTCAGAGTCTAAGAGTCTGACTGCAGTACTAAGAGTATAAGAGTCTGACAGCAGTACTAAGAGTCTGACTGCACTACTTAGTACTGCAGTCATACTCTTAGTACTGCTGTTAGACTCTAGGTACTGCTCTCAGACTCTTAGTACTGCAGTTATACTCATAGTACTGCAGTTATACTCTTAGTACTGCTGTCAGACTCTTAGTACTGCAGTTATACTCTTAATACTGCTGTTCGACTCTAGGTACTGCTCTCAGACTCTTAGTACTGCAGTTATACTCTTAGTACTGCAGTTATACTCTTAGTACTGCAGTTATACTCTTAGTACTGCAGTTATACTCATAGTACTGCAGTTATACTCTTAGTACTGCTGTCAGACTCTTAGTACTGCAGTTATACTCTTAGTACTGCAGTTATACTCTTAATACTGCAGTCAGACTCTTAGTACTGCAGTCAGACTCTTAGTACTGCAGTCAGACTCTTAGTACTGCAGTTATACTCTTAGTACTGCAGTTATACTCTTAGTACTGCAGTTATACTCATAGTACTGCAGTTATACTCTTAATACTGCAGTCAGACTCTTAGTACTGCAGTCAGACTCTTAGTACTGCAGTCAGACTCTTAGTACTGCAGTTATACTCTTAGTACTGCAGTTATACTCTTAGTACTGCAGTTATACTCATAGTACTGCAGTTATACTCTTAGTACTGCTGTCAGACTCTTAGTACTGCAGTTATACTCTTAGTACTGCAGTTATACTCTTAATACTGCAGTCAGACTCTTAGTACTGCAGTCAGACACTTAGTACTGCAGTCAGACTCTTAGTACTGCAGTTATACTCTTAGTACTGCAGTTATACTCTTAGTACTGCAGTTATACTCTTAGTACTGCAGTTATACTCTTAGTACTGCAGTTATACTCTTAGTACTGCAGTTATACTCTTAGTACTGTAGTTATACTCTTAGTAGCTGTAGACTCTTAGTACTGCAGTCAGACTCTTAGTACTGCAGTCAGACTCTTAGTACTGCAGTCAGACTCTTAGTACTGCAGTCAGTCAGACTCTTAGTACTGCAGTCAGACTCTTAGTACTGCAGTCAGACTTAGTACTGCCGTTATACTCTTAGTACTGCTGTCAGACTCTTGTATTTATTTTTCTCTTTACGTCGACAGAACCATCTTCAAGACCCAGCACTTCCTCCGACTTAAGTTTCCCGGAGGATTCTGAAATGTCACATTCTGAAGGTGAGGGACATTTCTACTGTTTATCATGGACCAATCACATGTTCTCTCCTTCTGCATCAGTTTATCATGGACCAATCACATGTTCTCTCCTTCTGCATCAGTCTATTATGGACCAATCACATGTTCTCTCCTTCTGCATCAGTCTATTATGGACCAATCACATGTTCTCTCCTTCTGCACTAAGCACCAGTAAAAACTAGATCATTTGAATAGTTCAGTGTAATTATTATTTTAAAAATGGGTGAATGTAAAGTGTGGATGAGTGTCTGCAGAGCACACAAAGCTGATAAAAAAGGTTTGGGAATCCCTGATTTAGTAAGTCATATTAATCATTATTTTATTGTTTTTTCCCCCTCAGAATCAAAAGGGCCAAAAGGAAGAAAACAAGTCCAAAAGAGGCCGTGGACAACCAAAGAAATAGAAGCTGTGGAAAAAACACTTTTTGATTTCATCCAGACTGGCAAAGTCCCTGGTAAGGCACAGTGCACCCACTGCATCGAGAGCTCTGCTCAGGACCTAGAAGGAAGAACCTGGCAGGGAGTGAAATTTTACGTTAAAAATCGTATTGAGGCACTGAGAAGAGCAAGTTGCATCAGAAAGTAGTCCTCTGTTATAGTTCAAATGTTTGTTTATATAATTGTTATATTATATTTGTTTTAGTGTTTTTCTCTTGAATATTGTGAGAAATGTTTACATTATTCATATGCATGGGTGCACTGCGCCTTCCGAGTTCTTTCAGACATGATTGCTGTAAACCTCAGTTTGGTATCTGGCTGTCAATTTATTTTCAAGAATGCTTGTTATTGGTAGTTGGTAATTGTTTTGCCAATAAACACATGCCACTGCACACTGGCGTTGTTTAAATCTGTTCATAGTAAACAATTTTAATAGTGCTGGTACATAACACACACGTTTTAAATAGTGAGAGTACCTCTGTTAATATATCCTTACCGTTAGCATTAAGTATACAAGAAAAACATATTGCCATCTGGTGGCTGAACTTGGTACTACATAATAGCCATGTCCCCAAAAGTCACAAATCACAAGAAAAAAAGAAAGAGGGAAAACTTTGAACATTTTGGTTCGAATTTTTTTGCTAGGTTTCCAGGCCCAAGAAAAAAAATTGGATGTAGTTTCGGTGGCTCTACCTCTTCAGGAAAAATCAGGTCCCCATTATCACCCTTGAACCTGAGGTCCCCATTTATTCTGTTTTACAAGTATGTGTGTGTGTGTGTGTGTGTGTGTGTGTGTGTGTGTGTGTGTGTGTGTGTGTGTGTGTGTGTGTGTGTGTGTGTATATGTGTGTGTATATGTGTGTGTGTGTGTATATGTGTGTGTGTGAAGGAAAGTAGAAAAACAGCCCTTTCTGGAATCAGGGTACAGTGGACCCAGTGGTTGGTTTTTCTGAATTCAAGCTAAAGTCCATTAGAAAAAGAAAAACCAAGTCATTTTCTTCTAAATAAACGCCTCTTCAAGATTTGAAGAGGACACACTTTGATCTGCTTTCGGCGAATGGACAACTTTGTAACGTTAACGCTAACTTTGCTGCAAATTAATTGAATTGAACTATACCTCAAAACAGCAAGATCTGACAACTGCAAAAGAGAAAATCATATTTGACAGGAATCATGCAATAATAGTAGGAAACGAAAGAACTTAAATACATAATAAATCAGGAAGACCATCAACAGAGACGAGGGGGCCTATCCCTTGGCTCACACTTGGGGCTTACTTCTCCACAGACCACGAGAGGGGGGGGCCGTCAGTCTGAAGAATCCAACTGAAGGATTTTATCTTCATTTCTAACGCACTGTAGTTATTTATTATCTGAATTCGTCGTTTTAATTGTGTTAACGGTGATTTGTGGTAACTCAGCAGTGCTAGCTTAATCACACTCCATCGTACACCAAAAGAACCTATAAGCGCTATAGAAAATCCTTTTTTTTTTAGCTTTTGATCCATGGTACAACACTGATTGCTTTATTTTATTCATCTACGCTAATATCAGGAACTTACAAACTCCTTGTAGCTCCGCCCCTTCTGTCTGAGAGCTCCAGTCTCAGTCCGGTAATAGCATGATGTCATTGTAGTGCTATGACATCACACTCATAACAGGTTCCTCCCTTAAATGGACAAAACTAATTCATGGAAAACACTTTTCAGTTTTTTTATTTTGTTTATTAGATATGGACAACAGTTAAAATGGGACAGACCAGATGACCTGCCTTTAGTTTTAGAGAGTCTTTAGTTTTTAAGAAAGACAATGCTAATGTGGATGAGGACGTACCACCGCAGGGACTGTCAACTCAAATCAAACAGAAAGTAGTACATTTCTTTGCGCACATTGAACCGGGTAAGCTCCGGGTAGAAGTTTCCGTTTGTAGCACCACTCCAACCGCCCTCAGTTAGAACAGGTGCATCCTCTTTAGCTGTTTACAAGACTAAAGGCTTTGCTCATGTCCCATTGGTTGCGATAAGTTCCAACACATACAACCGACCGTGGCAACCCTTTGTGCTACCCTTGGGTCAAAAAGACTCGCCACAGATGTTTAGAAGTAGAACATACCTTAAATTAGGGCCTAAATGATCCAGGGCTGGTTAAGTTGACAAAGGAGAGAAAAGAGCTTACTAGAATGGAGTATGGACTAGAGGAAAAGGGTGCACCACTAGGGACTCAATTCAATGCAAGAATTATTATATTTATTGATTGTGTCTTAGCCTTAATGCATCCGCAACCTGCTTCATCATCGTTTTAGCTTTTGCCTGAAATCCCCAGGAAAACAAGCAAATCCCACCACCCAAAAGTATAAGTTGACAATGACAAAAGATCTTTCTCAAATGGGGTAAAGGACCAGAGGGAAAAGGTGCTTCACATGAGACCATAGAGACCGCTAATTCAAGAGCGTTTATGTCCAGATAACATCAGCAGCAGTTGCAGTGGAGGAAATGCAAAATGCAGTGATGCAAATGTGGCTTGCGTCTGCACGGCTTAAACAGGGCAGTCTTTATGTTGCCCCCATGACCACAACATGCAGCAACACAAAACCACTTCTTCTCCGCTTCGAGGACTCAGCACACTTGCACAACTATGGCACAGATGTTGGGCAAAAACACACAAACAGCAAACCCTTGTTGTGTTACTTACTTGTCCGACATGGCCTCTGCGAGCGAATACTGATTCATTAAAACGTCTGTTTGCGTTCCCTCGCTACACTGGGAAATGTCAAAAAAAAAGGTCCTGGGACGGGAGGATGTCACAGCAGCGACCTGCGGGAGAAAAGAGAAAAGTAAAGATTAAGATTAAGCTGAAGACATCCTGTATTAGTCGCACGGTGGGGAAGTTTCAGTGTTGCATCAGCAGAAACAGAAGATAAATCAACAATAATTAGATAAATTAGATCAGGGGTGCCCAAAGTGGGGCCCGCGGGCCACAGTTGGCCCGCCGGACCATTTCAGTTGGCCCGCCAAACATTGCCCACCTCCGCTGTAAGTTTCTATCTGCGTCCCTCAGCCTCGCTGAACACACAGATACATGTCTGAGTTTTCTCTGAACTGCAACTGTTCAGTACTTTACTGTTGTATCGAGATACACTCCCTTCACATCTACTTGCACTGAAATGTTTTTTAAAATCAAACACATCTTTCAAAACAATTGGGTGCAAGGCCCCTTTATGTTCTTTTTTTTCAGCCTACTATTATTATTTTTTTGAGCAATTTAATGTTTTATCAAATTGAGAGGATTGTGCTGGAAAACTGCCACTGCCCCTCCTCACCGGAGGGAAATGGCGAGTGGAACTATTCACCTGCGCAATCCGCACCCACCCGGTGTGTTAAAAAAGACGGACACACACACTTCAGAGTGAGTTCAAGCAGGACAAGCAGGGATCGCAGCGCACGATCCACGCAAGTAGAAGCAACAAATACTGTGCAAAACAAACCCTTCTACAGCCCCATGAAAGAAGCCGGTAAGCGCCGTCCTCACTCGCGATCATTGAATGTCAGAACTTACGCGGAGTTTGATGATGCGTTCAAGAGCCCTTTGGAGGAGCGGAAACACGGACTCTTTAACAGTTACTTTGTTTTGATTGTTTATAAATGTTGTACTGTGTTTAGGCAAAACAAAACAAAACTCCAGGAACAAATCAAGGTTAACTAGTCTGATTTCGTTAGTTTAATATTCAGTTCACTACTAATTGAGAATACTTGTCCTATGTTAAAAAATATTAAGTTAAAACAGAGTTAAAACCTGATCATGTTTAGAAAATGCAGTTAGCAATTATGTTCCCAAATTCATTACTTAATGTTTAAATGTATTGTTTAAAAGTGTGCTAAAACCAGATCTACTGATCAGTGATGTCTCCCCTTTTTGATAAAAGCTAAGATAAAGTAATATGATTCAAATGTAGTTAAAAACTTTTGTTCAAAATATATATATGAAAATAGACTTTACTTTTGTAAAAGGCCTTTACTTTTGTATCCCCACCGCTGTCAGACTGTACAATAAGTCACTTTAAATGAGCACTGTGTGAAAACCTGCACTACTATTGACACTGTTTCCAACTGACACTTCTCACTTTTGTTGCACATAATTATTGTCACTTTATTGTACATATATCCTGCATGTAACATGTTTGCACATTTCCTCCTTTTGCACAATCTGAGTGTCTCTATCCATGTCAAATGTGACATGTACATTTCTCCTCTGTGAGATAAGATAAGATTTGCTTTATTTATCTTAAAGTAAATTGCTTTGCTAGTACAATAAACCTATACATTATAAATCACTGTACTATAGTGCAAAACTGTTTAGAAAAAGGTCTTCAACAAACACATGAGCAGGTTAAAATATAGATTTAATTTGGGAGTATGATATTAATTAATATAAATTAGTACTTTCATTTACTAACAGGCACATTATTTGTTTACAAGTAGCCTTTAAAAAACAGTTTATTTACATAGAAAATGTATGTTTCTGTTCTCTTTTTGAGGTTTTTTATATGATTTTAACCTTTAAATAAGCCATGACAGATAATCTCCCTCCTCTGGACCCTGATTACCCGCCGGAATCTTTCTGTACTGTAGTCTCCTCAAACCTGCATATTTCCCAGGAGCCTCCACTTCACTAAGACTGTGTTGACTGAATGAAAATTCATTCAGCTGTGATTTGCACTGATAGACAATAATTAATGCATTTAAAAGAACTTGATCAAATCTACATTTGTTTGTGTTTCATGCGTAATATCGGTGTATTTGGCCCGCGGCCCACTGGCACATTTATACTTTGGCCCTTGGAAGCAAAAGGTTTGGGCACCCCTGCATTAGATAAATTAGATCAATACTAAAATAGAACTCAAAGATAAAATAAAATCTATATCTTTATCATAACAAAGAAGCAAGTAGAAAATCCCTAATTTTAGCATAATTAAGCAAGAATTAAAAACAAAATCTCAAAAAAACTTGACATAAATTAGCAGCAAAAGGGTTTGAGACAAAGAGACGAAGTATACTGGCCGTGGACACATGTGATTCTATAATTAGTGTTTTATGGTATCTTTTTAAAACAGATAAATCAGGGTATACTGTAGTCCAAACTTGTTTTTATCAGCAGATATAGGCAACCCTTAAAGTGATTATCTGGAGTTTGTCAGAAAGAGAGACAGAGAGGTGCTTGATTTGAAAAAATAAAAGCAAACTCCTCCCCCTTCCTTTCTGATTGATCTACACCTACGTTTCCGTAACACTTTCAAATGTTAATCAGAGAACACATTATACATATACATTATTAACACACATGCACGGAGGTTTTCAGAATGATTTGTTAACGTTTTAATGAAAAAAATAATGTTTTCATGCACAAAAAAAGCGATCGTGGCAAACCAGGAAGTGCCATTATCATGAATTGCACATTATAGGACACATCTGCAGAGGATCTGATTATGGATATAGGTTCAGTATATAAATGATTATAGATATAGGTTCAGTATATAAATGATTATGATATAGGTTCAGTATATAAATGATTATGGATATAGGTACAGTATATAAATTATTATGGATATAGGTTCAGTATATAAATGATTATAGATATAGGTTCAGTATATAAATGATTATGATATAGGTTCAGTATATAAATGATTATGGATATAGGTTCAGTATATAAATGATTATGGATATAGGTTCAGTATAGAAATGATTATGATATAGGTTCAGTATATAATGGAGGCTTGATTCTGAGGCTCCGTGAAAACAAACAACAGAGCATGAGCAGCTACGAGCATCAGCGCAGATGATTGACTTCAGATTGGTTAACTTCGACGGCACCGTGGATTCTGAGCTATAGCTAAGAGAAGGGAAGGCGGGACTTGCCCGTAATATTAGAATTAATAAAAGGACTTATTTTATATCAACATTTAAGGCCAGGAGGTCAATTTAACACATTTCCTAAATTTGTAATTCATTTAGAGTTACAGACTATAATATAATAAGACTGGACTAAGAATGAAAATTAACATTTGCTTTTAGTCATTGAGGAAGGACTGCTTGATGTTTGCGATGTAATGAGAAGTTCCTATGAGATAATTGTATCTGTGCTTAGAAACTACAAAAATGGCCGCTCGGGGTGGAGTTGAACCTGTGTCACCTGGATGGGGGCGTGGTCAAAAGCGCCTCATTTGCATTTAAAGAGACAGCACCAAAACAGGTTTTTCTCAGACGCACCTCAGAACAGGTGTAGAAGAAAGGCCCGTGGAGCTACAAATAATGACTCAGACCCAGGCATTGCAGTTACGCTTTATATAGGCCACAAATTAATGATTTAGATGTGAAAAACAATTATTTGAAAACACGATATGTCCACTTTAATACATTAGAACAAGCATGATCTTTAAGCCATTATGAGTATTCTAGAAAGATTATCTTAACATTTAAGTGGGAGGCAGCCAGTTACAGGCTCTTAGTGCGAGTGACAAATTCCTGTATTGGATGTCCGTAAATGTCAATTATGTATCGAAAAAGAACTCCAAGCTTTGATAAGAGTCACATGGCTATATCAGAAAATATTTGATCTTTTAGCCATCATAACATTATGGCTAGATTAGCTTAATTTTTTATTTGGATGCAACATGAAGTCCTGTATATTTCCCAATCACTTCCACATGTCTACTCTTTGCTATTCACATAAACACACAGAAGGCAGGAATGTGTGTGCACCGGCTGTTGGAATTTGGACACAGCTCGAGCAAAATAGAATTACATACATAAAGCCTGGTTCACACGAGAACATTTTAAAATTGTCGGCCGATTTTTTCTCCGTGAGACCCCACACACGGAAATAAAAAATCACGGGTCTAACCACTTTGGTCGTGCAGTGTGTGGTGCGCAGCCACACGGCAAAATCACGCTAACCACACACAAACCGATTTCACCCCCGAGCATTCACAGGTCACTGGAAATCTCACAACATCTCTGGAGATCAAGCGTGACTTCAGAGTAAACAGAGTGTGCGGGCCTCTCTGCTTCACGCAGCCTATAGAGACTCTCGTCTGACCACAGCAGCCACAGACACCATGAGGACAAACACATATATGTGGATTTTACTGCTCTACAGTTCTCTGGCCCGTACTGTCTGTGCTGTTCAACAATACAGTTTGTACGGACGACCTGTGAACGCATCACACACACTGCTAGACATGAAACTTTACATACGCGCAAACCAACAAGCACGGCTGCATCAACACGTCTGTACTGTATTAGGACAGAGTGCAAAGTAAACGTACAAACACAACCATCAGTCTGATCAGTTAGTACTAATCCCGTCCGAACAGGGCTGATGCCAACACTACCTGTGCAGCAGCAATTTCTGCCCAGTTCCTCTCCTTGTCATTTCGGTGATGATATTCTTTACACAACACGTCATACATACATTCACGGTGTTGCCAGAGGTCAACTAGTTGTTCCTCCATCTCTGATAACCACTGAACTTTCTGGTGCGCCATGCCGCTGACTTTTGCTTTTTTTACGGCGTTTCCTCACTGGCTCGTCTCGTCTTCTGATTGGCTACACGCCGCAGTCATGGCAACGCGCTCGTCTGTCCCCGGAGGACACCACACACAAAGAGAAATCGGGCCAAAACAATCCAACATGTTGAATATCCCTGATATTGAGATCGGAGCAGTCCCGAAGTCTTTCCGAGCGACGAGCGCAGTCTTAACACACCACACACGGCAGGACAATCGATCAGATTTTTTGTTACAATATTCGGAGCGTTC